CGTTGGGCCGTGGGGCTCCTCCGCCCGGGAGGGTTTCGCCAGAGGTGTCCGTGGGTGCTGCGGGAGTCGGGGGCCGGCACCGTGCCGCGCCGCTTGCAGCCTCCTCCAGACGGCCGGTGCTGCTCTGCTGCCTGTCCTTGCTTTAGGGTCTGGTGCCGTTTGGACTTGAAAGCATTCCTCTTTAAAAGTAAATTAGTTTCTTCAGTCTGCCTCCTTGGTGCTGGGTCACATTGCAGTATGCGTATACGTTTGCTTTATGGGTAGAAATGAGGAGAAATTACTGGAGAGGCAAAGAAAAGTGTGGATGGAGCAGTCACAAGCACGGCTCCCGCCCCCGTCGGTACAGAAGACGCGATCACAGTAACTGTACTGAAAGGCAAGTATATGCAGCTTGTGCTTAGCATGGGTTAAGCCATGAGACGTTTTGCCGAAGTCAATCCGCAGAGTGATGGCTGTCTAGAACTGGGAGGGCTGCCGTCTGAAAATCTAGGGGACAGTGCTTCTGGTGTATCTGTCATCCCCAGTGGGAGTGGAGTTGCACTGATGTCTGGAAATGTATCTTATGTTTGCAACTGTATATCGATTTTAAAATGAGAGTGATTCCATGAGCTAGTCCGTTCAGGTGTGCCTGATCGTCTGTAAACTCTTCATCAATATGCAAAGATAGTTCAGGGAGGAAAAATATAAGTACTTCATTCCGCCTGCCCATTTATTTTATGCCTCAGTGTCTGGTAGCGTAAAAACTGTCATTAAAGGATCTTCCTGAAAGTGTGAAAGCATGTGAAGTAATGTGGCAATAATGCCACATCTAGCAGATCAGGAAACTGAAACAAGGTCTTAGCAATAATCCACTGCCTTGAGAACTGATTCTTTCAGAAAAGTACGTTTTTAACTTTAGAAATTATACTGGCTATGTTTGAGCTATTTTTATGTCTCTTTTTGTTTCCTGTGTTCTTTCCTTAGTGCCTCTTGCAGGAGTAAAAGAGGCCAATCTTTTGCTTTAATACTGTAAGCATTTTTTTTAAAATTTTTAGAGAAAGAGACATATAAATATACATATATGAGTTGCCCCATTGGTTGTATTTGTGTAAGAAAAGTTAGAAAGGCAAATGGGCCCTAATTCTGTGAATATGGAATTAAAAGGATTTTATTAAAAAGTTTTAAATTGAAGTGCTTGGGTTTGGCATGGGGATTTTTCCCCCTTGTAGGTCAGTTATGTTCTTTAGCTGTTTTCAAAGTTGTGTAATCAAACAGCAATAGAGCTGGTATTAGAACTAGAATTTCTTTGTCATTTTGTTTTCAATAAATTACGACTCTTGGAAAACATCTTGGCCTAATGCTTTTAAGATGACATGTAATAAGACCTATCTAAAAAGTGAGAATTGTATGGGTGATTCAGAAAACATCCCAGTGGAATTTTGCTCATCAGTACTGAATGTGCCCATTTAAATTACTTCAAAAAGAAGAAAGCTGCAGTTACTTCTGTAACTGTCAACTGTGATGTTTATTAGAGACTTTTCTTTCTTGGAGTTTTCATTAAACTTTTGTGTATTTTGCGTGTTTCTGAACCTCATCAGTGAAATTCTTGTCATGAAGAGAACAGTGAAATATTTTTGACCTGACATCAGTATTTTACCCATACTGTCTCTCGCTTTATGCTGTGAAGACTTACATGTTTTCAGGGGTGGGCGTTTCTTTTAATCAGGGGATATGGTAAGGTGCCCAGAATTAATCTTTTGCTGAAAAGAGTTAAAGGCACTTGTAGAATCAGCAGCCTCCTCTAGTGTTGGTATCTCTAATGCTATTGAGAAGTTTTAAAGCTGAATATTTTTACTGTTTCTTTTTCATAGTTTAATATATGGTGATATGCACAGTGTGCTTATCACAGCCCTGACAAATCGTGCTCCATTAATGTCAATAACAAGCTGCTTTCCTGATTCTTTGTGGGAAAGATGTGTAGGACAATTGTGAACCTGTCTTGAAGGCAGTGCTATTTTTTTAGGCAGGAACAGGAGGAACCACAGACCTCCATGAACGCAGGCCCCAGCAGCAGTGGAGATCCTGCTTCATCCAGTTCAACACAGAACTCTGTAGTACCAGGTAAGAGACTATGCTTATGGGTCAAAAATTGGTGTCTATATGCTGACTGTATGAAAAAAGAGCAGTAGCTGCGTTAATAGTATGGTGTTAAAGGAATGATATAAGCAGTAAAGTTTGTGGAGAAAAGTGATATAAAAAGAGGTAGTAAGTGAGGATCTAGGGAGAAGGGCCAAATACGCTTTCAGGCCCACAAGTGCTTCACATGTTTGAAAACTTGTGTGTTTCACCAAGCTGATATAAACTGGAAAAAACAGAATTCTGTTCCTCCCTCCAGAAATGTTGTTTTGGGAAGAAAATGAACTTTATTTCTTTTCTCATATGTGCTGAAGACGTTATAAAAATACATTTTTCAATAGTAACATTAAATAAGCAAAGAAAATAAGAGAGCATACAAAACTTATAACCTACATCCTGTTATTTAGTCTTTTAAAAGACACAACAATCTACCACTTCAGCATGGGGCGGGAAATCATCTCTCTCTATGCTTTCAGTGTATTTTGTAGTCTGTAAGAAATACACTCTGGCTCAATGTTTGTTCATTATCAGAGAGTCAACTGGTGAAACCAGACTTGATGCAGTAGCAGTGCTGTTGATGAAGATGATCCTGTTTGCATTCTGGTTTCCTGACTCGTTAAACAACCCCAGCAAAAGCTAAGCCTGTGGGAACATACATTCCAGAACAGGGGAGTCCTGATACGCCACTGATTCTACAACCTCTTAACAACAACAGACAAAGCCAGAGACTTTTTTTATATGTCACCCTTTTGTGGTTAAGAGGTTGTGAGCATGTTAGGAGGTGTATCCTGCAAAACATTTATTGCCGTGTAATTAGATTCTGTATACTAAATGCGGTGTGCTTTTATGAACCTTACTGATTCATTCACTAACTCTGTATTTTTGTTGACCTGAATAAATCTTGTTCACTTCTTGCTGAGCTGAAACCTAAAAGATGCTGACAAGCAGCAAAAAGTGGTTACTTCAGATGCAATTTCTGGTAGTAGATAAAGGTTTAAATAAAAGCTCTTGAAAAGATGATGTTAATACTCACCTCTTCTGAATAAAATCCTTTGTCTTGAGACAATGTACTGTTATGGATCTGTCCAAGTATTTTCCCTGTCTGCCTCAGTGAATTTACCCAGACAGTGAAGCACTAAAATTGAATGTTTCTGTCATCCCAATTATCTTTGGAAGGAGCCTCTGTGTATTGTCCAAATGTACTCTTGATTGTATCTAGATCTTTTCTATGTGTTGAAGAAAAAGTGGCTTGTTCTGGGAAGTGAATCACTTTATTTTGGTTTGGGTGATACTTTGTTGTCACTTTTGTTTGTTTGTTTGTGACTGCCCTACCTAATCTTTTAACAAAGAGTGTCCCCTCATGATTGATTTATGAAGAAAGGTTGGTTTTGTTCTGCAGCAAAACCTTTCCGCTCTGCTGCTCCGATCTGTCTGAATTTCATGTTGGTCAGTGGTGACATCCCTTCTGTACCTGTGTAACAGCACTGCATTTGGAAATGTAAATAGTCTTTTTTTTTCTTTAAGTGGCTGTCACCTGTTCCTAGTCTGTGTATCATGCTTGGGACCTGCTGGGAGCAAGAGCTTTGGGCCTTGTGACTCTGGTGTTCCCGTGAAGATGTGGGATGTCAAAGAGCAATAAACAAACTTAGTTATCCATCTCATTTTGCCTGGGTTTTTCCACTTTTTTTTTTTCTTTCCCTCTCTGAGAACTGCCGGGATTTTACTATGACTCAGAAAAGAACCGCTATTTTCGCCTGCTGCCTGGACATAATAATTACAACCCACTCACCAAGGAGAGCATTCAGTACAAGGCGATGGAATGCAAAAGAGTGAGACTCTTAGAAGAGGAAGAAAAACAAAAGAAGGTACATTCTGAAAAAGATTGCAATTAGGCTTTATTGTCCTCTGGCCCAGGACAGATTATAGCTAAAGCCTTTCAATTCTGGCTGTGGTACAGTTCCCTAAGCTGCCTGAAGAAATGAAAATTTCTTTTTTGCTGAGAATTTGCAGTCCTTCAAGCCTTTTGTTTGGCTGTTCCACGCAGGAATGAAAGCAAGTCATTGCAAACAAAAAACTTGTAAAGAGACAGGAACTGTGCTCAGAATTGCAGTGTCCAACAGTTACGCCTGAGTCTGGACACTGGACGCCAGGTTTCAAATCCCTGCCTTGAATTGGCAAAGTGGGGTCTTGTTTTTAAGTTTTCCAAGTTTACTAAATGTATTGATCATATTCCTGAACCCTGAAGAAACAATACTAATTATTATATTATTATTTGTATGTAACAATAATAATAATTATATTAGTATTGTTAGATACAGCTTTTTCATGAAGAATTTTTTTCATAGGTAAAATCAAGGCAGGTCTTATGTTTATGCCTGGAAAGCCTGTATGCCTTTCATCATAAAGGGCTATAGCAGAGTTAATGCTGATGCTGCATATCTGTAATCTGGGTAAAATACCCAACAAGGATGTTTTTTAATTACCTGAAAGCTGTGTTTTATAACTTCACAAATCACAGCTCAGCTCAAATATGCTGTCATTTGGAAGAAGCGAGGGGTATTTTTCTGCTTAGGTAATGAAGTTCTCACTTCAACCAGCTATTCAGCTCTTCAGTCTTCATTGTGAAAGTGATGCTGTTGGTTTGGGTTTGGCTTTTTTTGGTTGTTTTAGCTGTTTCCATGATCAGTTTAGGTTTCATAGATACCAAAAAGCTGCTGGCCACGTTGCCATTAATGGGAACTGTGGATATACCTCTCTTCTCAAAATCTACCTGTTGAACCAGACATCTGAATTAGGCTCACAGATAAGAACATTTTGACTCTTAAATACTTGCTTTGTCTGAGCATTAAAAAAAGATTTCTCCCTGTGTAACTCTGCAAAGTAGTTTATCCTTTGGTCTCCCCAGAAAGTATTCGCATGAAATTTTAAAAAATTATGAATGGAAAAGTAGTTTAGTGCAGCAGTAAGACTGTGTTGTTAATAGTAGTCTTGTTGTGAAAGAAAATTTTGCTGTATAATAAGAATTTAAGGTGTTATAGTGAAACCAGAAAGTGACTTCATACCTCAAGGTGGTACTGCTGATTATGTCAGGCAATTAATGGCTGTTGCTTTTTGTTTTTTTTCCTGCAGTTTTTGTATTTATAGAAGCACCCCACATCTCACAGGAATATATTCTTGTCTATTTGCTGTAGTAGACCAGGGAGATGGTACTGGAATGTGTTTTGTAGATGTTCTGAAAATCTTAATGTATGTAGGCTAGAGAAAAAAGTTACCTAAATATCCCAAACATCTAAGACCCAGAGCCATGTTTGAATCGTAAACAAGCAAATAACTGAGTACACTTTCATGATAATTCTCTTCCAGAAAGCACCGAGGGCTGGACTGAACTCGTCTATGCTGTTACAGAAAAGGCAGCTGGGTTTGCTCAGCTCCAAAAGTTATTGCAGGTACAATGATTTGATTTGTCTTCTGTTTGCAATACCAAGTTTTGCTATTAGTGCAACTCTTCCTGTCAGGTTTTTTGCATTTCTTCCAGTTGCACTTAGGACAAAGAGGAACATACTACTTACAATAAAAAATAGTTATATTCTTTTATAATCAATTTAGTAGTGATGAGAATTCAAATGAAGAAGTTTCCCAATTTCAGAAAAACAGAGTTCAAAACCTCTTTTTATATATATATATATATATATGCTGTTTTGCCACATTGTGCTTAATGAATACAGTGCAGCTTTTATTTGGATGACTGCTCTTCAGCTGATGTGACCAATCCCCCTGCCCCCCGTTAGAATAGCTAAGAAAGCTGCTATTCGTTAACAGCGTAGAAGGCAAGTTAGTGACTTGTTATGTTGTTGCTTTTGCTACTGAAGATGTGCTGGGGTTCAAAATGAAATGAGATGAAATTCCATGAATGTGGAAGATGCACGTGTTCATGGGTTATATAAGTGAAATTGCAGCACGCTAGTTGTTCAGGCGTTTTATCTTCTGTGATTGAGAAGCAGTTCTAGATATCCTGTCCAAAATTCTATTTGTTGGCATTAAACCTAGGCTTACCTCAGTTCTCTCTCCCCCTGCCCCACATCTACAGGATGGTCCATGAACTAAAAGTGAACTGCATGCAGAGGAAGAAGATAGAAATTCACAGTCCAGATTCCTCAGTTGCTGGAACCAACAATTTTAAAATAATTGTGGTATGTTATGAGAACTGTTAAGTCTTTAGGATAAAGAGAGCCCATCTTCAATGAAAATCTTGTAAGCAAATCCCATAGGTCAAATTTTGCTTTCAAAGATGTGTTATTCATGGTGTTGTCAGTTCTCAAAATCTGTGCTTGGTAATTTTGAACAGGTAGGAAGTGGCTGTTTCTTTCCTAGAAAGGCAAATGATGAAAAGGTTGGAAAGGAAAGGGGTTTTTTTTTTTTTTTTTTTCTTTTTGAGGCTGATCAACATGTTCTTTTGGCAATAAACAATTGAGTGGATAATTAGTGTGGGGCTAGGAAGTGGAGAGGATTAAGAGAAAGAAGAAAATGGAAGAGAAGAATTTGAAAGTGGCAAAGTCTGTGATCCAAAGAATCTATGTAAACATCAGTAATCATTTTACCTCTCATGATCTGAAGGCAGTTTCTACAGGCTTTGATGGTACTGCATGTGTAGGGGAGGTCTCTGGACCAAATATCTTTCATAGTCTATATAGGAAGCTCTCCAGGACCAGCTCCTGGCCTTGTAAAGAGAGCACTGCCGAGGGTAGCTGAAGCCAGAAGGGAGTCCGAAATTTAGCGTTATAAAAGATAAGTTGAAATATAGCACCAGCTGTTTTGCTGTGATCCAAAAGCAGGAAAATTCCACATTTGCTTTTGATAAGGTTTAAATTTTTGTTTTGCATCCTCTACCAATACCAGTCTGTGCTTACTGATCAGCCAGAGTAAGTGTCTAGAACAGTTATTAACAGAATTCAAGAGTATTTGTTGTTACTCAAGGGCTAAATAATTTTATTACTCATATTTTTTTGTGCATGCGTATAAAAGGGAGCTGGCCACTGTTTTTAGAAATGAATGGAAAGCAGATGGTGCTAAAGGGATATGAATTAATGTCTTGTTTGTTTTGGACCTAATGCAGCTCCCTCAAGCCGTTTTTTTTCCTGCAAGTTTCCAGTAAGTGTGACCAGTAAGCTTTTATTTTACAGGCAGATGTTGCTTGTGAACGGATATTCACTGTGAATGATGTGGAGCATGGAGGATGTAAATATGGTATCATCAGTCTCAGTGGTTTGGGGAAGGAGTCTCTCACTGTGGAGATGTATGATAACCTCTACTTCACCAACCGCAAAGTACGGTGTTCTGTTCCTGCTTCCTTCGGTTGTTGCATTCTCAGAACAATGTTCTGGGGAGGCACAGGTGGAAATGCACAAGGGTTGCGGAAGGGGTTAGGAGGAGAGAAAGGAAGAATCTAGCAATGTGAAGCTTGGATAAACACAGAAGCACTGTAAACTTGTCTCTGAAAGTCCTCAGTATCAGTGTTGGTTCTCAGGAATGTTATGTTACAATTGGAACAAAAGACTATGCAGAAGTACCAGCTTCCAAGGAGAGTGCTTACATCAGAGTAGCGCTTGGCTACAGCTGACAAAACTGATGCTGAGGGCCAGAAACTACTAAGATTTGCATGCTTCTTTCTTAAAAATATTTTCCCAGAATTATTTTTCTCCTTGAGCGTGAAGCATGTTTAAAACAGGCTTTTATAATCTGCTCATGCTCAGATTATTTTAAAGATGATCTCTTAAATAGTCAGATGTGCTTGGCGTCTCAATCTGTGTTTGGACAAACTTCTTAATGCTGCCGTGTCTCCTACATTTAAGAGTAGTATGAGGCTGAAACACTTGTGTCCCACTACTGGGCTATTTAGTGGGCTAAGGAAACGTGCCCAGCGCATAGCTTTATTTCATCTTTGCATGGAAATATGCTTTCATGAATTGAGTAAGAGATCACAAAAATAGTATGTCTTCTTGTGTCTGAAGGTGAATTCTGTGTGCTGGGCATCATTGACTCATCCAGATTCTCATGTTTTATATCCTTTTAAAAGAAACAAAATTTCGGTTCAGCTTTCACAAGTCTGCATCATGGTGCACATAACTAACTTCCAGGAAGACCTCTCATGTAGTTACCCCAGAAATTAAGTTTTCTGAAAAACAGTGAGTTATAAAAATTGAAAGATTTTGGAGCTAGAGAGACAGGTGTATGGTTCTGTTATAGATGTATGTAGAATAGTTCCAGCGTAATAGTAGGTGAAAGACCACATTTCCTGCCCTGGAGACTTCCCACTTCATTAACAGTGTAGATGCCATATCCAAAATGATCTGATGTTTAGAAATTGGCTGGGGCAGAAGAACAAGACAGAGGGTTAAGACAACTAACTTTCTTTTTGAAGTGGACCTCTTTGAAAGTGGGTTGGTTGGTTTCTGTTGTAAACCATCCCCATATTGGTTGGGGCGAGAGGAGAATGGGAACAATTCATTGGCATCATGCTCTGCAACTTTCAGAGCATGTTCTGCAGATCTGCCTCAGAAGAAGAGGAAGATTGATGGTATGGTAGAGGAAGCAGTAATGGACAGTGCAGAGCCCAGAAGAGAAGAAGAAAAGAGTATTTTAACGAGGGAGGCAACAGATGTGCTACTGAAGTGCCAAAAGAGAGGAAATTGTACAGAAATGTCTGTAAAGGCACCTGGGAAAAGCCAAACAATTCAGGACTGATCCAGAAGGTGGCAGGAGTTCATCAGGCTTGGTTTAGAGTCCAGGATTGTTTGATTTGGTTATTTTGTGCTTTCCTCTAGTCATGTCACAGATTTACCCCACTGAACTTGAAATGCAGCTTCAAATCCTATTCATACCTGGTATAATCTTTAGTAAGGATTTTAATGTAATCTAAAGTGAGTCTTATCTGCTTCCCCAGTGTCTGCGCCGCTTTCTCCAGCTTACCTCCATGAAAAGCAGATCTATATCAATGCAGTGTTTTCAGCGTGTAAAGATGAGATGAATGATTTATGTAGGCCATGCAGGTTTTTTTCCTATTACTAGAAAGATGCCTTAGTATTCCTCTTACCTTGTTTTTCTGTTAGTGAAAATACAGAAGCAAGAATTTGAGTTCTTGCTACCTCTTTTCTATGAAAGAAATAAAAAGTCAAGACTTAATTGTAAGCTGTAAGACACATCAAAGGTGTCAAAGGGAAAGTATTGTGAGCTCTGGCTGTGTCAGAGCATCTTGCTTTTCCCAGCTATAAATGTTAGGCAGCCCTTTCCATTCTAGGCAGAAATTTTTGTTTTCCTTAACTCGCTTCAGCAAGCTGTGTCTCATGGGAATTGCAGAAACACCAGGCTGTGCCAGTCTGCTTCCAGCATCATTGTTCAGCAGCACTAACCCAGGTAGGGTGTTTTTGTTGGTTTTTTTTCCCTCCAGTTTTTGATAGCAGTTATGGTATGAAAAGAGCACAATGGAAAGATGATTTCTGCACTTTTCTTCAGTAGCTGGTGACACTGTTGTATTCTCGTAAAACTTAGAAAGTCTGGAACAGTTTAATAAGTGAATAGATGAATGAACTTGCAGTATTCAAAGCACTAGTTTATTTTTAGCTGCTGATGATGTAGTACTTGACTTTGGCAGGAGAACACCTCACTTGTAAAGTAAACATTTGACATTTTTTATGAGTAGCTTGGCCTGTAACTAATACTCAGAAGCTGCACACAAGAAGTACTCAAGTTTCCTTACAGACTATCTAGAATCATTGCAGAGTCCCTTCTCATAGTAGCTACTTAAGTACGCTCAGTGGATTAATCAAAGGTGGAAGGCTGATAAATGTCTCGGCGCATAGCTCCTTGTATAAGCTCATGCCCAGTTGTGTGTAAGCATGGTTGATTTGGAGAATCCTATGTCTGAAGTCTGATGGCTGTAGTGGTATCTTTACATATTTGTTTGTTCAGTGTTCTTGGGGGCAGGACTTTATTAATTGGACTTTCGTGATAGATGTCAGAACTATGCTTCTTCAAGTCACACGGTACAGTCTTCTAACCTGGTTTCCATTCAGACACGATCAGTTAAGTTTATACAGAGGACATCTGTGATAGATAAGAGTTATAGACTTATTTTAAATTTTTAATGTTTTGCTATTTATGCAGCCATTAAAAAAAAAAAGATGCATAGAGTTAGCATGAACTTGAAGAATCACTGAAGATGGATGGCTGCTAGGCCAGCATGTCCAATTGGTCTGTAGAACATTTTAAACCCTTCATCATAATTAGGTGCCCTGAGTTCCACCAAAGTCCTCCTATGTAGTATTTCCTGTTGACTGTTTTAGGTATTTCCAAGTTTCTTGACTTCACTCTGCTAAATTGTTGGCTTGCTAAGTATGTGCTGGGAGCAAAGTAGAACTTAACCTGTCTAAACCCATGTTTTAGACATGTCATCTGTGCTGCGTGACATGTATGAATCATGGTGGATGTGTCATGAAGGAAGTGAAAACTGAGGACTTAAAATTTATGTCAATTAGTAGACTTTGTGCAGGAGCTACATGAGTAACGGTCAAATCTACGGTATTGTTACTTAGTCAGACCTTTTTTTTTTTTTTTTTAAATAGGGCAGGCCAAGACCTTATAGGTTAGGCTTCAGCTAATCTATAGTTTATAAAGTAAATGTTTCGTGTTTCTAGCCCACTCATCTTTTAAAAATGGCTTACTTAGTGCTGTAAGGCAAGTGTTATTTTTCTCTTTCCTGCTATGGTCAGCCCTCTGACTACTTAATACATTTCACAATCTCTCACAGTCATGTATCTATATAGACTGTAAGTCTTCAGCCTACAATCATGAAGTCCCACTTTTGTTTCCTGTCTCTCGAGTAGCACAGGGACACAAATTGTGTAGCATTTTCTCTGCTTCAGGTGGAAATGTTGAAAGAAGTGTGGAAATCCAGAGAAGCTTTCTCAGTTATCATCCTGTCCAAACATTTTATGGTCGCTTCATGTGTTTCTCCTCTCTCCTAGGAGATCGACCTGGAATGCTTTGCAGTTTCAAGATATCCACTGCCTGGTCCTGTGCTTGGTGCCTGAATCCCCAAGCAGACAACTGTTTCAGCACAGGTGATCTGCAAGGCTGGCAACCCCTTCTGTCTTAGTGGGAAAGACTTCTTGGGTTCATCTCCCACCTGCTACTCAAATTACAGTTAAATGATCATATCTGTCTTCCTTAGGCCTGACACGACGAGTTCTTGTAACCAATGTAGTGACAGGGCATCGACAGACATTTGGAACCAGTAGTGATGTCTTGGCACAACAGTTTGCCACACAGGTAAGGAGAACCATACACGAATCTTCATTTTTTCAGAGCGTTGCCTCATTGGTGGGCTTTTTGTTCTGTTTATGTTGGGACTCATGCTGTTCATAAGGTTGCGATTACAATTACTGTTGGACAGCTGCTCCACAACAGAGCTGATGTGGTCTGATGCTTGCACACAAATGAATAGCAACAATAAAGATTAACTGATTTCGAACTCTGGGGCAATTTTTGTTAATTGTACAGAGGTAAAAAGGAAATTAAGGAAGTACAAAGAGCACAGTAATAATGTGTTGTAAAATTGTTTTGGTTTTGGCAAATGGCCTCATTTTGTTAACACTCAGTGTATTGTCTCCATCAAGAAGGAGAAAACATCTATAAAATACTAATGGACTTGTTCACAAAGATTTAGTGAGAAGGGTGAAATCAAAATATGAGAATCCAGTTCCTGTTTTGCTGTTACGTTAGACTAAGTTCCTGCTTACTTAGCTGAACATTTATAGCTAAAGTAAGTAGTTGAGGTTTGAATGGAACTAATGAGTTGGCTGAAAAAATGTTGCAGTGTGTAATAAAAATTCTGGTTCTTAATGCCCATATTAATAAAATAATTTGACAATTACACCAGAGAGCTCAAAAACTTGACACAGCTTCTGTCTGTATAACTTGTAAGATCCTTGCAGATGTTACATAGGATGCTTCTTTCTGTTGGGTTCTTCCAGACCCCGATGCTGTACAATGGCTGCCGTTCAGGTGAGATTTTCAGCATTGATGTGCGCCAACGCAGCCGAAAGGGCCAGAGCTGGAAAGCGATTCGTCTCTTCCATGACTCAGCAGTTACATCTATTCGCCTGCTTGAGGCTGAACATTATCTTATGGCAGCAGATATGGCTGGAAAGGTACGGCTTTGTTGTGTTTAGGGTACTGTGTTTCTTTTAGTATCTGGGCATTGACAGGTGCTTATCCCAGTCCGGAGGGTGGATACTTGCTCTTTGGGGGATAGTATGGAGCTGGGTGGTAGTTCAGATCCACTTCTCAACCATAAAGTGCTCTCTGCTTTGTTAATATATCCTCTTTCAAACAATTACTTCAACTTGCAGATAAAACTGTGGGACCTGAGAACAGCAAAGTGTGTGAAACAGTACAAAGGTCATCACAATGAATATGCTGTTCTCCCTTTGCATGTGAATGAGGAGGAAGGACTTCTTACAGCAGGTGCGTTGACTTTTTTCCCCTCTACTTGCAGAGTGCATGGCAGTGATTTTTGTATGCCCAAGGAGTGTTTCTTAGCTACAGCTGTTGGAGGCTGTAAAGCTGTTAGTTCTTTAAAATTGAGAAGAAAATTAGCCTTAGACATACTTTAATATCCTATGAAAATTAAGAAATAATGTTATGGATGCACACCTACTGTAATCACCCCTGTGTAGTGCTTAACAGCTTTATCTGCTGTGCCCTGGAAAAGTCCCATTATCCCTTCCACAGTAGAACAGAAAACACTTACTTTGAAATTCAGGGAAACGATGTGTAAACGGGACACTTGGTGATAACTTTATGTAGAGACTGAAGACCGTGTATATATTTGTTTGGTGCTTAAGTGGGTAGTGTGGTGACAGACTGAAGCATTAGGCACGTAAGCATAACTCCTTGTAAACTGTCTGTACCACTCAGGTTCATTTTGAATATTCTTGGCTACAGTCTGAGATTATTTTATTTTGTTTGGGGTTGGGGGAGGAAAGGTAACAATAAATGAAGCAAAGTATAGCCAACTTTCACAATGTCAGTGCAAACATCATGACCTCCCCTCCTTGGACTGGTCAGTAAGTGACAAAATAATGGGAAGAGTTCTGGTTAATTTGAGAGCGAGTTTTGCTCCCCTTTTTTTTGGCTTAGGAGCTTGATAATGAGGAAAGCACTCCAAATACTGATTTATCGTACCTTTTATTGCCGAATAGGAAATGCACATTTTTTCCCACTTTTGCAGTATTCAGCGTAGAATTTCTGTTTCGTAGAGTATTGATAAGCACTTTGCCTTTAGCGTGTGTAGAAATGGTCAGGTTTTTTTCCCCATTGATCTCCTGCTTCTGTGATGATTATCTTGTAGAGCTGTGTAAAATACTTTTTGTGTGATGCTGAATTCTGTTGTCCTTTCCTTTCCAGTTGGTCAGGATTGCTACACCAGAATTTGGAGTCTGCACGATGCCCATCTGCTTAGAACCATCCCTTCTCCCCACCCATCCTCCAAAGATGCCATTCCCAGTGTGGTGTTTTCTTCAAGACTTGGGGGTAGCCGAGGAGTTCCTGGCTTACTCATGGCTGTCAAACAGGATCTCTACCACTTCTCCTATAACTGACACCATATTCTCCTCAGACCTGGTCTACAAACTTGCCAGCCTATACATGACTTCAGAATTTTTGCACCAGTCACCAGGCTGTTGAGTCACTGTGTGCTGCTGTTGCATCTGCTTTACTCATGAAATTCTGCATCTCCTTCAGCAGGTTCAGCAAATCTTGCTGTATACATCTCAGACATCTTGTAAATAAAAGCGGAATGCTGTTTAACTTTTTAGGCAATATTCAGCCTCTTTGAAATCTAGCTATAAGCTTTGAAAAGCTGGTAACTTGCAGTAAAAGCCTGACTAATGCTAGCTGAATTTGCTGGCAAAAGGCTGCTCTAACTTATTCTAGTTTGGTCATATAACCACTTAGCTGTGGTTACATCCACATTAGGAAGTGGGCTGGTGCAACAGAGTGAATTAGCAGAGAGAAGTTGGTGGTGGTGAGAAGCTGACACTAGGTATTCTGGGGCTTGCTTTGGGGTAGCTTTGGTCTGGGTCCCTGTGTCAACTGTCTGTACTACATCTATGGTTGGAAGCAGTCCAAGGAACAGCTGGTTCCCTGCTCACGCTGTCAGTCCTTTGAGCTGGGCCATGCTAAATTTTTTCCTTCTCAGGTGATGGTAGTGTGCCACTGCCCTGCCACCATTCCCTGTAAAAGGCAGCATGTGTAGAATAAAGTCCCTTTCCTGGTCCAGTAGCTAGGCTGAATGTACCTGTTAATTTATCATAGTGTTTCCTAACTGAGTCCACACCCCTAACCTGGAGTTTGGTCAGCAGTCGGGAATGGCAGGCTTGCCTACGCAGCTGTAGCAGGAGACAAGCCCAGCCCGAACAGACCACATCCTCTTTGGGGTATGAGATCACCCATGCAGAGTCAGAGCTTTTGCAAGCAGAGGTACAACTGGGTCCTCAGCTGTGAAGCTGTAGCACCAGCCCACAGTGACTGGATGATGCTGTATCTGTATTTGAGAACAGTTGTCATCCCATGGAGCCTCATTACCTCCAGCTCCTTCCTGGAAACCAGTCTGGTTTGGGCAAGAGCATTCTGCAGCCAGTATATGTAGGAAGCACTGACAAGATCAGGAGCCTACAGGGCCTGAAAGCCCTTATGAATTGGTGAGACTCTACAGGAAAGATGCTGCAGTTTTCCAGAATTCTTGGAAAAGGAATGCAGGAACTTTCCATCTTGGGATCCACTTGGGGCATTCAGAGGTACAACTGTGTCATCAGAGAGGCTGCTTCCCATGGGGCCCTGCCAGGCCAGTGGGTGAGCGTACAAACGGGTATGATCACATCCTTGCTGCCCAGCATGTGGAGCATGGGTGGAGGCTGTGTCCAGCTGGCTCAGTGAGATGGCCGTGTCAGAGAGCTAGGCTGGGCGTCTGCAGTCCAGGTGCCTTCTGAAATTGGGTACAGGCTGCATGTGCGCACAAAGAGAAGTGGTGCCAGTGACTGTTAGTTGTGGCCTACAGTCGGGAGCACCCAGGGCAGCACTCGCACCGGGGACACCATCTGTGTCTTCACTGTGGAGGGGTGCAGCAGTGCGCAGCACCCTGGGAAGGAAGGGGCTTGCAAGTCCCCATCAGAGCTTTTCTGCTTCACTGAATTGCATTCCAGGAGCAAGAAGAAACAAGTCTGTTTCAGACAGATACCTGTCTGTTCGCTGCTTACCCCATTAACCCCACCGTACCTTTTGAGCAGGCATAATTAATCTGTTTTCCAAGGCCCTTCCTGATGTTGCTGTGTTGTCCTGTGCTTGTACTGCTGTCTCTGAAACCCTTCCAGCGTGTAGGGCCACCTGGCCTGCTCAGAGGGGCAGGAGAAGGCATCAAGCAGCAGAAACACATTTTCGAGCAGAAGTGAAGCAGCAGTACTCCAGCAGCGTATCCGCTCTCCATGTACAGGTAGGGGACAGGGGTGGCTGGAGGTACACTGCAGAGCTGTTACAGTAGTGCTCCAGCCCGAGGGAGGTGAGGGATGCTCTGCTGATTGATCAGGCACAGCAGGGTACCGTGCAATCCTGTTCCTGCCCTCAGAGAAAACCTTCACCATTGCCCTCCTAGGCATGCTGCAAAGGTTTCTAGCTTTTTTATTTCTCGGCAGATACTACTATTCTTTTGCACCTAAAGCTTTTGGCTAGATCAACCTATTTATGGAGGGCTTGCGCCCCACCACCTTCATCGTGATCAGCCATCAGCTCTGCTCACCTCGTACTGGTGCGTGTGCAGGGAACCTCTCAGGCTGTAACTGAGCAGGAGTGTCTGCAGTTAAACAAGTGGGTTGGCAAAACTGTTCCATCAGTCACAAAATGTTTTCCCCAGAGATAGAGGGTGTGAGCTGCAGCACTGTTAACAGGCATGAGGCGCTCAGGGTTGTGGCGTGAGCGCTCTCAGAGCTCACCGAGGACTTGCTGTCACAGCCAACTCATCCCTTTGCATCCCTGCTAGTGGTTTGAGCCTTTTGAGCACGCTGCATGAGTGCGTCTCTGGCTTGGCTTACTCCAAAAGGAAGCATCACAAGTGCCCTGGATTGCAAGTCCAATACAGGAAGATTCCCTTCACGAGCCCAGCGCCAACCTGAGCATATCCTATAGGTTACTTTGTTTGTTTCCAGTGCGCTCCTCTCCCCTTCCCTACCCTTTTTCAAGTGACTTTGGATAAGAGGGAATTATTCAAACACAGGTGCCAGGAAGGGTGGGACCTGCTAGAAGTCCTCTCTGTCCTGCAGGGCTCCACGCTCATTTCTTCTGCCCTCTGACAGCCTTCAGGCCTAAGCAATGTGCTGTTCTAGGAAACTGGCTCCTCCTTCTCAGCAGCTCTTACTGCTCACCACACTCCAGTGTTATGTGTGGTGATCTCCTTCCCTTTCTTTGTATTTCTTTTGCCCATTAATCTATATAGAAGACAACAGAGCAGGAAAACTCTCCTCTTGGGAGCAGTGTAATAACTTTACAGTGTGAATACATTTTGTATGAAATAGCTGTTGCAAGGGTAGTCAAGATGAAAGATGTATCCCAGCAAATATTCAAAACTGTTCCTTCCATGTCTGAGTATACATTCAAGACCCCCAAACCTTTCTTGTGGTCCATTAACAGCCAACTCCCATTTCCCCATAGGCAGATTGAGCTGTGAATTCCTTACAACTACGTTCCCCCGACGCAACTGGCTTTAGCATTTCTCTGCACAGCCTTCTTTCTCACACAAGGCGGAGTGGATGCTGCTCCCAGCATACTCTGTGCTGCCCCTTCTTTCTACAGACCTTGTTTAAAAGACCAAGGGTCCCCTCTTCTCCTCAGAGGGTCAGTCAGTCTTGCAGGCTCCTCCGATTCCCTCTACTACGCTTAGATAATCAAGATTCCTGGCTTGCTGTTCTTTTCAATTTGAGAAAATACTCTGCGATTTATCTTGATTAGTTATGTTAATTTGGGGCATTTTTGGTTGCATGCACAGTGATTAATGCATGCTGCACAACTTTCAACAACATTTGCATTGATTTAGTTAATAATGCATGCTGCAACTAAGCATCTGTTCAGGAAACTGACATGTAGCTAACCGCATCCCACTGCAAACTCCTAACATCTCATCCAATAATCCACTCAGAGTTGGGCTGGAACATACTTTATATTGATATTCTTGCTGGTAAACATACATGGTTCAAACACTTGCAAGTAGCAAACCACAAGGATCATGAACTCCCTTAAATCAGAATTAATTCCAACATTTAAATTAGCGTTTAAACTCTTTTCGGTACCCTTAACTCCAGTAATGCCTTTCCTCCAAGAACAAGACCATGTGACAATCATGCCCAGTTACCGTGGGAAACGCAAACTGGGAATTGTGGCACAAAGGCATCTTACATAACTGAAGATAGTTTCTTTTCTTTGTTCTCTTTTAGGCAAAGCTCATAAAACAAAAGGTACTCATTTGCTTTCTGTTGTTTCCAGAAGCCAAATGCACACACATGTCCCTGCAAACCCATTTCACCCAACTAGTGCTTCTGCAGCCAACACTTCTAATTAAGCCTGCAAGAGCAGTATGAAAGAAGAGGGGAAGCAGGGCAAGAAGAGAGGCAATTTGGCTTCAGTGACAAACAGCGAGCAGCCTGCAGGCAGTGGCTAAAGTATATTAAATCAACTATTTCATTATGCAGCAATAGCTAGGACCCTAAGGCAGTTACAAAGTAAGGAACTGCAGCCCTTTTCCCCTCTGCTACAGTATCAAAATACCATATTTCTTTGCCTCAGCTTCTCAGCATGTACTGAATCTAGCAGGAAACTTCAGAAAAGCCAAACCTGCACCCCTAGATAGGTTGACAGCATCCCTCGCCCAGCAGGCACAAGTTGTTTGGTCCCTTTTGCTCACCTGAGCACGGCTCAGAGCGGACCACCAGGCTCTTCTCGCTGACCAAACTGCTGGTCCCTACCACCAACACGATTGTGTCAGGAGCCGCAGACCCTCACGCTTGCTCTGTTCCATATACCCTGCTTCTACTAGTCATCTCTCAACCCTGATTAAAAAGGCTCTTTCCACATAAAAGCTTTTAGGTCACCTGCGGTTCTTAGATATAGCAGGTAGAAACTTCTACAGTTTCAACTTTGAGTGTCTAAGGCAGGGAGGGGATTTGTTTTTGGGTCTCCTGTGGTGGTAGGGGTTATGTCTTTCTGTTGACCCTGATTTATTGCAGTGCATGGCTTCATGGTCATTCCTCCTCTATTATCCTAATGAATACTGAAACTAAGAGGTTAAAAAAAAAAAAATCAATTTACTAGTCACAATTTCACTCTGGCTTTTTTTACATTTTTGAGCTTCAGGAACATATTCCAACAGCACTAGAAAATTAAGCATTTGTTGCGAGGAAGTGAGAATTCAAACTAGAATGCGTACAGTCTCGAGATGTCCCCTTACAGTAGCTGCTTTCAGAAAAGTTATAATCTAGCACAGCTTTGGTCCCCAAACCTTGAGCTGCTGGTGGCTACCTGCATACACTACGTATACTGCGAGCCCAATCAAGCAGTCAATACCAACCCAAAGGACTTTCTAGACAGGGGTTCTGGGGAGAGAGGCTGGGGGTTGAAAGATGCTTGACCCAAGTGTTTAAAGCACTTTACAGATTAGTTTCATGTTTCGAAAATGGAAGCCAAGGCACAAAGTTGATAAACAGTTTTAGGTAATGTCTGAAAATATAATCAAGATTGCCTGCCTTTTCTTTTTCAAAAAACTTCTTTCCTATCTGCAGTTCTATTAATATCGTGGTAGCTGTGAAGCACTCTGATGCCTTCCTGACAAGTCATCATCTGTACAGTATCATACATACACTACTGCTTCTCTCCAGTGGTGCTACAAAACTGCCTTTTAAGCAGAACCAGAAAGATTCAGCCAGCTTTTCAAAATGTCAGAAATCAGTGTTTCAAAATCTCCAGGCATTCTTCACATTAGAATTTCTGTAATGCCACAACTGAGACATTTCCTACATGAGGACTTTATATATATATAACTTGTATCGGTATTGCTTTATTTTTTTGCCCGAGTTATATCCAATAAAAATTAAGTTAAACAGCTGAATGCACTCTGACTTAAGATAATTGACTAGCTGCAATTCTAGTTTAGCTTTCTCTTTGTCCCATTATACTGCTGATTTTGAAAGCCCTGGTAGTAAGTTTTTATTTATTTTGGCATTGCTGTGATTTCATTGTTGATGTCCCTGAACCATGAACAAGAACATCTTCTGACATACTATGTGCTGTGACTGACAGAATATACGTGTCAACATTGCTGTACCAAGAAAGAGTGCTCAGCTAAAGCAGGGGGTGGGGACGGGACACGGACAACAAAAACCAGACAGTTCCATCACTTGTCCAAATCACTCTCTGTTCTCAAATTACTGGCAGGCAAAGACTTGTCGGTTGGTGCCAAATTATATTACAGCCATCAGCAATGAATCAAGTGCAAGGACAATGCCACAATATGTGGAGCTACAATGACTGACAACATCAGTTGACAATGAAACGTTAAAACAAGAGGCTGCAAAATAGAGTGTAATAGTAGCACTTAAACCTCGTGGGGCTGCTTACGCTGGAAGCAAGAAGATGAAGAGCCGCCAAGTCTGCATGACCAGGTGGGGAGCCCGGGCTGCCCGAAGCAACAGCGGCATTTGTGAATGTCTTGGCACAGCCACAGCAGACAGAGACCTAGCATAAACGCAAAGCAGATCTAACATCACGATGGTGTTTTCTTCAACAGATAAACTCTTGCTGACATCAAAAGCTAGCGAGGGTTGTCATGTTTTCCAGAACCAACCAGAGGTCCAATTCACAAGTGACACAGACAGAAACATATAGGGTACCTCGGCCAGCTTCAGCGAGCGCAACTTCGCCTGCGAGGAGCTGGGCAGGAGGATGAACAAGCAGGAAAACCAACGGGGCAGGGGGAGTGAAAGACAAAGCAGTTTTTCTTGGGCAAGTAGCTACATGCTACAGCCTGCTGCTGCCCTGACAATAGCTACGCGTTGCAGCCATGCTGCTCTGCCATCTGCTTCTCTAGCTGCAAGTCTCAGGTGCAACGTGCACCTGGTATACATTTAAGCCAAGTCTGGCCTACAGGTTTTATGTAGGGAGCCTAACTAAATATGTGTACATCTATATGAAGCTCACCTATATCTCCCTACAGAAGCAGAGGAAAACCCACACCACCTATCTGAAGAGTAATCTTTATGCTGAATTGGCACAGGTAGCCACAATGGAAAAAAATCCATCAGAACAGAGCAATCATGACAAATTTTTGCTCTACAAATCTAGGCTCATTTTGTGGTCTTTGGGTGAGTAATTAGTTTTTCACTGGGGCACATCTTTGCACATCAATTAATTCGCATGATTTTTATTTTACTTTATGTCTTTCATAGCTTTTCCGAATCAGAAAAGGCGCAAAGGCTGCTTGATCTGCCAATAATCAATCTGACATTGTTTTTCTGGGAAGAGATTGACATCAGTCAACTTCATTGTGTAACTCAGAACATGCTTTTATTGCGCCACTGAATTAATTCTCTTACCAAGAGATTTTTGTGCTGATTTTAACCACTGAAATATTTAACACTACAGTGAAGTTCAGTTGATCCAAAGGACACACTATCATCTCGACCAACTGCAATTTCATGCTAATTAATTAATTTGCCTTTGGTAAAGCACACATAGTGATCTTCTGGAAGTTTCCTGGAAAGCAGTCCCTTCCTATCCCTGCCCTTCTAAATAAACAAGCCTTTTTCACACAGGAGTTCCGTTAGAGTGTCAGACCTGTCTCATACTGCCGTTACGAAACACTCACAGCTCGGGCTTTTGCAGAGCTCCAGCGAGGTTGCTGTTAACTGCTGACAGGTTTTGCAAAGACTCACTCTGGTTAGATGCTACCAATACCTCTGCACGCGAAGCATCTCTCCTAAGAGTTTAGGAATAGAACTCTCATAGGTTTCTACTGCTAGGATTAACCATAGTCTTCAGGCTGACAGTCCCACCCCAAGGACAAGATACTCCCATGTTACTTGCTTTAGTGATTTTTTTTGTTTGTTTTCAGGATTTCTGTTTCCTTCATTTAAGTCTCCCATAGAGCTTTCTGTCCACAGACATTGTTTAAGAGACTTTTTGTTTATCGAATCTTAATGTGTTAATACCAAATAGCATTGGGCTCTGCTAAAATATGCCTCTATCCCCTTTCGATAGCTAATCCATTTAATAACCATATTCTATACTCTGTGTACTCACAGCATCCAACACTATAAAAAAAATGAAGGCTCTTGTGCACAGAAAACAGCAGTGAACTTAAACCTTACAGATTTTTTTTTCATTTTAGAAAACAAAGAACCCAAATAATCCTCTCAACGTTGTCCAGCAAGAGTAACACCAAGCCTGCTGCAGTTTAAGCACCACATAAGATTTTGCTTTGTAGAGCAACAGCATAAAAGATTCAGCTCCAGGATAATCAATCAAGAATGGACTCTGCAGGTTGGGACAGATTGCTTAGTTACTAAGATCACATATGTACTAAAAATGTTTAGACAATATTTTCTCTGTGACTGAGTAGCAAGTCTGGATGTGACAAGCAAGAAAAAAAAAAAATATCAGACAAGTTGTTGAAACAGATGCCAAAGATTTTATACAAGGAATCGGCAGGAGGGTTGGACTAGATGACCCACAGAGGTCCCTTCCAACCTCTACTATTCTGTGATTCTGTGAATGTCATGGCTGCTTTCTCTTTCTGCATTAACACGGTAGTAAAGCTACATGCATAAAGGGCACACAGGACACAGCCTACAAACCAAGAACACATTGCTCACCCATTAAAAAAATAAAAATACTTTGAAGCACAGAATTATGCCAGATGTTCGGAATGTCTTTTAAGAGAAGATTTCTACCTACTCATGCCCTCCCTTGGGCAACTGTCAGTCTATGGCAGACTTTGCTTACAAAAACATTAGACCGTCCCCAGTAAACTCGGCCAGTACCGAAGGTGTCCTGGAACGTTTTCCAAGTCTACTTCCGTGTGTAGGCTGGATGCAGTTGCGAATGGGCAATCACTTTGTGAGTATGTTCTTTCAGAGACAAAGTGAGAACCGCTTGTTACAAGGAAAAAGTCAGTACACTTGTTCAGAAGATAAAGTCTTTTATAGCAGTTAATTTAATAATACAGTCCTAAAACAGGGTGCTAGGCACTCATCTACACAAAAGCACATTTAGTAAGCTGGGGAAAAAATACCACAGTTCCAGGACATTGCATCAAACTCCCGCCACTCCAAGAGGAGACAACTCTCATGTGGTGGAAGAATTCTTGTCTATGTAAGTCAAGAAGGGAGAATTTTAGGCAGTTCAATCCACAATGGTCTCTTACTTCTTATAACTGCAACCAGAAATCCACAGTACAAGACAGTATTAGTTAGGTTAAGTGGTGGTTTTGATAATAAAAATCAGTGAATTCATTGCAGTCCTTTAATAAAAGGATTAAGTCCAGTGAGTGCCAGTTGCTAGGAGCAAAGAAGAAAGGTTCCAATTTTCCAGATGGATTTTGAAGTTCATATTATTAGAAAAAAGATCAGTCAAATCTGTGCAGTTTCTATGCAGCCATGTTTAAGAACACAGAGGCTCCACAGACTCCGGGATTACTTAAAAAGTGGGGGAAAAGATAAATTGTCACAACCCAAACAACTCAAACTTCTTCTCTCAGAATTGCCTACATAACTTGTTCTCTTGTTCTGCTCTGGACAAAACTTTAAACTGCAACAAGCTGGCAGAGAAACTTGAAGAACACCTGAGTACATGAGAACATCGTAAGGGAGAGCAAGATCCTGCACCCTTTTGATCTGGTACTGAAGTTGAAACGGCAAAATCAGAATGCTTTGCCTTGTGCCATATGATTTGCTTTCCCTTTCAGAGCTCTACTGGTCTCTGCCAGAGGGTCTATTTCAACTTGATACCTCTTTCACTGCAAGACCACTGCTCATATCACGGTTCAGACAAACTTGCTAATGAATCTGGGTGTAACCTTCCATGGCCAGAAGTACCACACCTCTGGATGTAGGGTTGGTTGAATTACCAGGTGTAATTCACACATCAACACTGGAGATTTCCTGGCAGCACAGAGTCCAAACCTTCCTCACAGGGCATCGTGATCAGCAAGGCGTTCCAAAAGAAGAATCAGAAGGCCGAAAGTCTGATCCAATACAATAAGGAACAACACCATCCATCATTTGAACTAGGAATACTCAAAGCTTCATTAGCCAACCGCATTCTTAGTATACTAAATTATACGTATACATATATATATAGATATATATTTTTTTTTTTAATTAGAATAAAATACACTGGATTTTGGTTTGCTCATTTACAAGGGAGCTCCCTCCCTTCCCCAGTTAATTTGAAATTAAAACCTAGAGGCTGAACATAAGCTCATTCCCAGCATTCCAAGATGGATATAACACGAGAGGAGGCCAGAAACTGGAAACATGCATTCTGGCTGCAACAGGTTAAGAGGTGAAATGGAGACCAGATATTTTCATTTGTAACCCTGAGAACATAAGGAATTGCAAAGATCTGGAGGGGAACCGCTCGGCGGTCGTGCGAGCATTCGTCACAGAATCCCTGGCCACAGGCCCGACAGTGGTGTTTGGAGAGTTTGATGCTGAATTCCTTCCGGCAGTTGTGGCAGTGCAGGATTTCATGGTCTGGTACCCAGTATGCAGGTCGGGCAGCATCTTTTACCAGACCTATGGAGGTAGTGAGGTGGGGGGATGGGAAAGAGGGAGAAGAAAATAATCTGTGAACGTGAGCTTGTCAAGAATGTACTCCAGTGGAAGTACTCACACTCTGTAAGTCATACCACTGCCATTAAGCTGAAGAGCACCTACTGACAGAATACTTCAGTGCAACGGGTAACCATTTAGGCCATTCTGCCATTCTTCCACATTCTGCCTCTCTTCAAAGGGACAGATTGTTTCTCCTTAAATGGTGGCATCTTCCCTTACCAGACTCCTCCAGAGATTGAGACGCTTGCTTTTCCCTACCTTCAGTTTCAGCTGTGGCCAAAAAACCACAGTCACCAAACCAAACATCCAGAAATGCATGTACTGTCTGAACTGAGAAAGGGATTTATTCTGACTTTCGCTGTCGGATGACAAACACCCACAAGGGTGATGGCGCGACGTGCTGCAGGCAAAGCAGTGGAATGATGATCTGCGCAGTGAGTAGGAGGTCAGGTCCAACAACAGAAGATTCAAACGCGAAGTGTTTGCTGACACACCTGAGCTGCTACTCAGCACATGAAGGAGCAGCAACTTTTCACTGGACTAAGCTCGCCATCAAAGCCCACATTACTCATTACTTTCCCACCATTACCAGCCTGGACAGCTTCAGATTCTCAGCCCTCCCTTGCAGAAGTACCAAGTGCTAGCAGTATCCATGAACACACTTAAAAGGCACTCAGCATCTCTGGAAGAAAACCAAACCTGAAAAAACGCTTCCTAACTGGCCAGCCTTTAGGGAACTCCAGCTGGCAGGTCACTGCAGCGATGCATCAGGGAAGAATGAATTACTCACAGCTTAGTGCACAGAGATTTGCACAACAGGGAGAAAAGAGAAGGTATGAACTGCAAAAACAATGTGCTGAAAACCAAGAGGAAACAAAGTGAGAGAAGCGCAGGGGGCTGCAGAACTCTTAACCAACAGTCGTATCATAATGGAGGTTCCAGCCTCTCACACAGACTCTTGAAGTTTAATCAGAAGTTTTGCTCTGTGAAAACAAAAATGCCTCTAGACAAAAAAATCCATCAGAAGAAGACAGAGCTCACCTAAGGGAATGTCCATGGCTGTCACCACTGCTCCAAGAGTGTTCTGCACAGCTTCCCCCACCTTCCTGGCAATAAGTGTCCCCCCTTCCTCATCTGAAGGCAGCTCAGCCACATCTGCATGACACAAGAGTAAAAGGTTCAACACCTAAGTCCAACACAATTTCTGCCAAGTTTTGGTTAATTTACATCAGCAAAAACCAGCTGCAAACCCAAAAGGCTGCTTGGGGCCTCTACTCAGCCTTTATCTCCCACATCTCCAGTCTTGGATTGCAGAGTTTTCACTTTCATCTCAACAACAATGGACAAAATACGTAGTCTGCTGAAACAGCAGCATCCCTGCTCGGGTGCTAGCTCCTCACCATCAGCAGGTGCCAGGAAAACAAAGTAAAGACCCAATTAGAAAATAATTTTGTCAGGGGTCAGATATCTGGTAGCTCGTTGCAAGAATCATCTTCCTGCCAAAAGACACTGAGCTCTTGATCTTCCCTACTAAAAACCCTGTGCCGAATCCCAGTTTGAACAACGCTGTCTACACCCAATGGGAATGGGCGCAGAATCCAGAAGCCAGGAGCAAAGATTCAGACTAACTTATCGCCCAGGGATAATTCTGTCACAACTCAAAATTACCTAACTGGATGCCCCTGTTTTCATAGCAGTTGTCACACACGCGCACTGGTGCAGGTCCCCAGCCTCGCTCAGGCACTGGACGGGTCTTGGAAGAACAGCCATCGCAGAAGCCCTCTCCACAGGCCCGGCAGTGATGTTTAGTGTCATTATCTTTAAAAGGCGTGTTGCACTTATTACAACTCTAATCAGAACAACATAGAAAGAAAAACTGTTATCTTGATCTTCCTTAATAGAAAAACAGAGAGCAGAATCCCAGGACGGCGAGACTCAGACTAAAATTGTGACAAACCTAGTAACACCCAACACCTGGGTGCTACCAGCCCCATAACTTTACCCTAGGGAATGGATTCAGACAGGCAGATGTACAGTGGTTAAGCCAAAAGATTGCTATGATCCCTTCATTCACAATCACAAATAATTACAGCCACATCATGCAGGACTGAATGGTGGCTATTTGATCTTTGTGGGGGTAAGAATTCAGAATGCAGCTTTTGTTGAAGAAGTATCTGTTTCCTGCAAGACACAGGGAATCCTTTTCTAATTGGATGGTCGGGGCCAGCTTTTTGCATCTGGTATGAAACCAGAGTTTAATCTCTACACCTGTCTACTCCCAACTATCAACTGCAGTAGCCAGATTTAAGATGTTGATTCTTTGCTTTGAAGAGCAAGCTCATGCAAGCCAGGATTTTCTGTTATACTGCTGGGAGAGGATGTCACAAAAAGTAGGGAGGGAGCAGTCTCTTTAGCAGGGCTGGGCAGAGTCTCTGTTCATACTTCCTCTGACTAAGTCAAGTATGGCGAGAGCTGAAAGCTTTTCAGTTTTCTGCAAACTGTAGGAGAAGGGCTTGCTGCAATAAAACAAGAAGCATTTGGAATCTACAAAATACTACATTACTTAAGGAGTGAGGAAAAGGGTTTTTAGTTATGCAAAGCTTTTCTCTACAGCAGCTGCTGTTTACCAGAATCTGAGAGTTGGGTCTCCAGTAAGCTGGGGCAATCTGGTCTGTCAACCAGGAGGTCACAGCTTTTGTGGGTCCCAGGCTAAGTTCAGAAACTGATTGTGCCATGAAATTCATCCCATCCAACAAACGCTGGGCTGCATTGTTGTTGTCTTTCAGAAATCCATCAGTCTGGAATGAAATGCATATTAATTTGAGAATAAAATAGGGAAATCTCATTTTTCTAGAAGCAGATGGTTCTGTGACCCACTGCTCCTGTTAAACTGGAGAACAAGCATGAGGAAAAAATTCACCAGCCTTGCTTTAAAACACAGGGGTATGTTTTAAAGGTGTATCATTCACACAAAGCGTTCACAAACTGGCAACTTAGCTATTTCAAGATAGCCAAAAGATGACTGCAGGCCCTTGCAAAGGTTCGTTTAAGCAGCAGAGACAAGAAACAGCTCTAATGAAAGCCAATCTATTTTCTCCATCAATGTTCAGAAGAACCAACACAAACATGTGCGTGGCTGCACCCATACACAATGACTATCCAGCAACCAAACTTACCCCTGGCCAGACATGCTCGATTTCTGTCCTCACTACAGTGTTCACAGGATCTTGGTTGCCAAACCAGTACTGTCGGCTGCGGTACACCACTCCACAGTTGGGGCACTCAATCACGTACCTGCAGAAGGGGAAGACGGGTTACCTCAGTGAGAGACTGGAAGTCCAGTGTACCAGGCAGCATAGAGGCAACAGAGAGCAGGGAGATCTTAGCTGCAGTACTCACCCTGACCAGGCGTACTTGGCAAGGCCCAGCCAAGGGGAGTCAGTGGAAGCAGAGGTTTTTGGCACCACGCTGACCTCCATCCCTCGTTCATAACAGGCCTATAAGACAAAGGCTCAATTAAAAGTGCATTCTGGGGAATCCCAGACTCCAGGTCTTGCAGCTGTTTGGCCACATGAAGCATATAATTGGCACACAGTGGTCTCCACAGCAAAGGATAGCACTCATCAAAACTGATTTAAAAACAAACCAAAACTAGATCCACTGTCAATGACGACATAACGAAATACCTCTACAATAATAAAAATCATGATGGTAGCTTAAAATTTTCCTGTCTCCTGCACACATCCTTCAGAAAAAATGGCTAATACCAAGCAACAGGCATAAGCAAATAAGAAGAGTAATCACATCAAGTGTGTAGAAAGAGAACATCACCCAGGCTGAGAGCAGCCGGGTTCACAATTTAGCTAGCAAATGACACACAGGACACAGAGGTGATGACCTCTCCAGGCAAAAATACAAGTTCAACAGTGATCCATTTTTCTTGTCAAGGCCATGAGCACCTCTCCCATTTGAAAAATGCAAGGAAAGAGGCACGTGACTGATATTGCTCATTTATTGGGCCATCCTTTCTTTTTTCATTCTTCAGACCTTGTCCTCATGTTGCTACTCACCTTGCAAGTGTAGACTCTGTTATCATACTGGTGAGAATATCGGCATCGACTTTTGGATTCATGAGGGACTCCTTCCTTTGCATGGTTCATGCTCTTCTTACAGCCACACCTGAGTATGCAAAAGCAAACCATGAGCTGATGCTGTTAGATATGGGACAGATGTCACCAAGAGTTCATTTATGTTACTATCTCACGTTTGTACAGGTGTTGCAACCCCAAACCATGTTCACAACTGTACATACAGCAATGGCTTCATTTATTGCTGAAAGGCAGGCTCCTTGGAAGGTGTAGCAATTGTTTCACACTACAAAGCCGCACCACACAACAGTGTAGTGAGTGTGGGGAATGATCACTGTAGGAAGAGAATTTTAGGCAGAACTAACCGTGCTGGAAATCGACCAGGACAGAGTTAACACTGCAGTCTGTGCCAGGAGCTGCTAGAAATTCTCTGATGAGCATAAAAGAGCAGGAACATAGCACTGTATCACATTTGAGAGAAAATGTTTCCAGAAGCATAATCAGCCGTAACATCACGCTGCTATGGTGTGCTCACAGACTCAGAGCACTAACTGCCATCTACTGCCTTCCAGGCTCAAACTCTGGGCTCGTCCCAGACACCTACAAGCCAAGCTCTGATCAAACCTGGGGCTCCACTTAGATCTAGTCAATGAACACAGCCCAGGCTGATGATGATGTATGCTTTAGGATTGTTTATACTGTTTAGGTAATAAAAATGGCAGGAAAAAATCATCATAGGAAATTTCAGGGCATTTCTTTCAACACACCTTTCTTCCTGCCCTGCGTGCATTGAAGAAAAGACATGGGCAGAACAGGTTTGTAGCCATACACAAAAACAGAGTAGGCAAGGACCATGCATCCAGCTGGGACACAGCACTAGCAGCCATCCAATTCACAGAAGATTTGAATTTCAAGCAAATTCTCCCTGGAAGTACTACCCGATGATATATGATGTCAGGTGTCAAGAGGTCACAGAAACTTAACGTTCTATGGCTTCAGAGCAGGGCAGCACTGTCTTCTAGAAGGATGAGGGTGCATTTCTCATCTACTTACCCACAGCTCAGGCACACAGAGGAGCATGTGAAATATTCATCTGGAAAGAAAGAGCTGTGAACCATCTGGTCATCGGGGATCTCCCCACTGAACCGGTCACTTAGAGCCTGCCAAACAGAAAAGAATGAGCTGGTAAGCAACTGAGAGCAATGCAGACATTTTAGGAATGCTTTAATTTGCAAGCAAAAGCATGGGTTCATCTACTGGAGGGAGAGGCAGAGAGAGAGTACACAGCTATCAAATGTCTTACTAACCTGGAAACCAAGACAAGGATTAGAAACCAAGCAAGAAGACAATCTTGCACTTGTATGAAAGTGACCTGAATGCTTGTAAGGTACTTAATCTTCTCTTCTCCTCCTGCCCCTACTTTTAATTTTATAGCAAAAATGGGTGGTAGAAGATTGCACCCCCCTCTGTGCACACAACCCATGCCCAAAATAGCAGGGTGCTTGCTAAAAGGGCTTTGCATCCTGCAAACCTCCAGAAGGAAGCTCAGAGTCGATTCTCACAGTATATGAGGACTCATTCTTTGCTCCTCAGCTCAGAAAGCGCTGTGAGCTTTCCTCTGCCCCTTGAACAACTGCTCTTCTCTGCTGAAACTGCAAGACTGAGACAAAGGGATTTGTTCCCTTTCCTGGGAGCATCTGTTCTCAGAGTAAGTCAGTCCTTAGCCTTGGCACACTTAACTTTTTCATTTCTTTTGGGTGCTATGTTAAAAAAAAAGGCATTGGAACGAGCAGATGGTTAGGGTTTTTCTTGATGGAGACCTTTGAAGGCATAAGGTCTAACTGAAACTCTTCCTACAGCCAAGGTAACTATAGCAGCTGCCTTTCTTTCTCTTCCTCCCTCTCCCCTCCCAGGGAATGGGGCAGTGAGCATCTCTGCTGTCTACCAAGGACTGGCTGCACATACACACAGACAGACATATATCTCGCATCACAGCTGCTCTCAGATAAGTTCTCTACACAGATATCTGATTTCACAGAATTTCAAGGGAATTATCTTTAAGATCTCTTTCAAGCCTGACTGGAACTGGCCAATGGATTCAGAAGTTAGAAGAGATCGACATAGATCTCTAGGAAGCCTTGTGGCCTCAGGAAGTGAAGCAAAAATGTTAATTTGTCATCAGTAGTGATCTGAACACAGCAACCACTTTACTGGCCGTGAATTTAAGTATACTAGCAGCTCTATCTGAAACTACATTACTTGATTATTGCAATAAAGTGATAGAAATTAAACTGGAACTAACTACTCCAACTGTTATCCCCTTGCTGCCTGTCTGCTCCCTAATACAAGGAACTGTGTACTTGCCACCCTGACATTCCCCTCTGTGCTTCAGCTAACTCAAATACAGAGCAGCTAGAATTATCTGTTCCAACAGCTGTGGCTAACATTCGAAAAGACTGCTAACACTACCTTCTTCTGCAGATACGTCCCAGCTCTGCCCACCCCTGCCCAGTGACAATGAGAATATGATGCTAATCAGGTAGTGGCAGCAACGTGTGGAAACTTGCAGGACAGACTGCAAATCTGAAGACCAAATAATCCCTCTGACATCCTAGCAAGGTGAACCTTCTACAAAAATCACCAGCTGCTCTCTCCAATTCCTTTTCGTCAGCCTTCTGATTTGATGCTGCACCTCTGAAATGATACATCATTTGGCTTGATCCCATCTTGTTTCCTAGCTACCAACACATCTCCTTCCTCCTTTTTGCTTCCTAGCCCTTGGGTTACACTACACTCAGTGCTAGGTTTTGCCAGCCATTAACTCCCTCTAAGTTTCTTGCATTCCCTCCCCTTGTGCTGAGGACATTCTTAGGAATTTCACCAATAACTCCTTCTGGGCCTCCTCTTTGTAAATCAGTATCATTAAGTGCTTGTCACTCACAACACCATTTATTTTTTTCCTTCCCAGTCAATTTCTTCCTGGCCCAGTTTTTTTGATTATGCTCTAATTTCCTCTTCAACTTTTCTTGACCTTTCAGGGTCTTTGCTAAGGTGTTTGTTTGTTTTGAAGTAAAAAAGCTACCCAGCCTACCTGGCTGTTACAGAAAAATCATCCATCTTCATGGAAGACTTGCTGTATCTCCAGACATCTGCAAGTCCACATCACCGGTTCACGCATTCTACCTTTATTAGCTGCAACTGACAGTTACTAGCAACAGCGACACAAATAAAGATTGTGACAAACTCTTCTCCACTTACTTTTAGTGCTTTGTAGATAACCCCAGGCTGTCTAGGTGACCGAGTGGTATTGTTCTCCAGCTGCTGCTCCACAGCTCGCCTAAGTCCAGAGAAATCTGTTGGAGGATTGTATGTCCTTGTTCCCTTGTAGTGGATTGAGCTGAACGCCTCAGGAAAACAGCTCAGCTTCCGAAACCGATCCTGAATGAGCTTCTCAGGAACCTCAGAAGGATGATCTATATATAAGAGTATCAGCAAGTATATAAACAACCGACTGTTTAATATAATATTTAAATTGCACAGTGCTTTCATATGCAACACAGCACTAGTTTTCCTAATCAAACCTTCTAATACACCTGGAATGCAGTTACCATTACATTTTACAAGAAGGAAAAGAAACAAACTGTTTCCAAAAGCAGTCTCTGTTTTTTGATGCACAGCTTTAGATTCTAAGACGAAGTTCCACAGGTAAAACCAGAAACATCTAGGTTTGGAAACACAGATATACAGAATAAGAAGCAATTTATGACGTAAGCAAATTCCATGTCAGCACACTTGTTAGCTCTTCTCACCAGACCATAACTTGGTATAGCGAGTCCTAGCACCTGGTAAGCAGAGCACATAAATCTTCTGTGGGCTGCTTATGCTCCATGCAACCGTGTAGCAAGGAAGACCAAGCCTCTATCAACCCTTTGTACATGGTGAAGCACTTCAGAACTGGCCACATCAGGTCAGGTTCCATAGAGCCGACCACATTCTTCTGCCTGCTTCCAAGGCCTGTTCTTCCCTGCCCTAAAACTACATAAACACATTTATCTCAATTATCCATTGAGACAGACGGTTACAGCTTGCTGCAAATCTACATGCTAAGAGGTTTCTCTCCTAGTCCTACCATGATCAGAAGTGATCATAAAAATATAATTTTTTTATTACCCTGACTTCGCACACAGGTGTAGCTATCATTATGGGTCACGAAGTCCAACCTGCTGAAACAGCAAATTTCAACAACTATATGAAACTCTGCATTGCTACTCAGCAAATTGGTCTGTAAGAAAAGGAATTGCCTTGGCAGGTAAGTTAAAAGTAATTAAGAAGTCACTCTAATAATAACCAGCAAGAATGCCAAGTTCTTCTACTAGCTCCAGATCTCAGTGGTTAGAAAAGCCAAAATAAGAATGTGGGCCAGCAGGGAGCTGCAGTGGTATTACACAGCAGAAGACTCCAGATGTTCATAGACAGCAGGACTGAGACTCAGCCGCTGCAGGCCAGTTCATTAGGGCTCTTGCTCATCAAAGCATCAGAAATGGACAGAATGAAGGAAGGTTTCACCATGTCTTTCAAAACATGGAAAAAATGGGGCCAGGAGAAGAAATTTACATCCCTGTATAGTCAAAACCAAAATGTGCGATGACTTCCATAAGAAAGTGCATTTCACTCAGACATACAAATAAAACACACAATTTAAATATGTATAATCCAGTACGACACAAGCAAAGTTAAAAGCACTGGTGAAGAACACCAAAAGTGATGGCAATAATAGTGTGCCAGGCCTGTTGCATTGGCCATATCAGATACTTGCACAGAGAAAAGTGGCGTCAAACCATCAGCTCTGTGCCACCACAACCTGTCTCAACCTTATACCAGCCTCAGAACAACGTTGGTCCACAGAATTCAAAAAAAGTAAGGTGAGGTTACTGTAAGTATTGAAGTTCACCAATGTCATTATTCTTGCTCATCCTAGTTTCTATGTAGGGTTTTATTTTAGGCTTTTTGCAACAGGATCCTCCATATCCCTGCCAAAATCCCATGGTGTCTCACTTTTCGCCTTCGCCTGCCGTATCGCCCATACTCACGATCTTGTATGATGACCCCTCCTATGGGTGGCAGAACTGCCATCATGACTAGTCAGTGCCAATGCCCAGCTGGCTAAGAGGATTATTCTAGCTGATCTGGGGTAGTCAGATTGCCATCAGGGAATGCCCTGCTATTTCCACAGCCTGGCTCCTAGACTGGGACAAGTGAGAACAAAACTCAAACCACATCTTCTATGTGGTAGTAAAGAATGCTGAATATTCAATGCAACCTGATAATTTATAGATAGCATTTAGCACATTGTAATTCAGTTTCTTACTGCCTACTCACCAGAGCCCAGTAGCTTGGTGTACACAGTCTCGTGAAAGATGATGACACCTGGACCCAAAGTTGACAGAGGAACATCTAGGCCACAGCGGGCTGTGGTAGCTTTTAGCTCCTTGGTGAAATGTTTTAAATAAGCCTCCGAGGCATCACCAAGGAATTTGAAGAGATCATTGTGGAGCCTGTCAGCACGAGTACGGTAGATGACAAGGTCAGAGATGGCCAAGACCTTCAGCAGCAGCCGTGTTCTCTGGCTCAGGTTCACAGTGGCCCCCAGGAGGCCCTCTGTATCAATTACCACCACTTTGCGGACTGGGTCATAGGCTGCCCAGACTCCAACTGTGCAAGACTCTTGGGCTGGAGACGTCTTGAAGACTTCCCGGCCATAGAAGAAAGTGTGGTTAAGGGTGTGAGACTTGCCATCCCCCGTGTTCCCAAAGATGGACACTACCTTTAGATGCTGGTCAGGACTGCAGTCCAGTTTCTTAATAAAATCTTCTTCATTCCTTACCTTCCAAAATAAAGAGAAAAATATTATAACCATGCAGCTGGAGTGGACAACACTGAAAACACAGCTGGTTTCAGGATTCATAAGATTAATGAGAGTGATTACTTCCTATTGAGATTTCATCATAGGTTTCTGAAGCACCAAGAAGTCCAAAGCAAAATATTAGAAAGCAGTTTTGTAACACGTACGTATCAATGGGATTTAGGCTGTTCCATCACATAGCTGTTTTGGAAGTGATGCCTCACTGTGATTGCCTGTCTAGTGAAACCTCTCGTACCTCACCCCACTCCCTGAAGCAATTCTTTCAGAGAAGGGAGCACAACCCTACTTCCAAGCCAGCCAGAACAGCTACCTGAAGCATGGCAGACACCCTCAGCAGCACTGGTCTCCTGGCAAGAATCCAAATTCAGGTGCAAAACAGGGGAGTGCTTTTGTCACCTTAACTTGCCTCATCCACAGAGGCTGAGCACCCGTCTAGGGAGAAAGAGCTCCTCCATGCAGCTGTGCTGCATCTGTCCACAGCTGGAGGCTCTCAGACATAGCCTGCCCCGCTCCCACTGCTCTCCAGCTGACAGATCCTTCAGCTGGGAGGGGCAGAGAAGAACAAAGCAAAGTTGTGCACTGTAGTCCAGTTGTTGAAGCAGGTCAAAGTGGCTTTTACAGAAGTGCCACAACTGCCTCAATGATCCATTTCATAATTTACTGTATTGTTCTTCCATTTAAAAAAATAACACACACACACACACAAAATCAAAACAGAGTAGACAGCCCTCAGCAGGTAACTTCTCTTTGGCATCACGTAGATTAAACAACAAGCATCATGCTATTTAGGTAAGAGAACAGGGCATTTTCTGTTCCGATACTAGAGCAACAGGGAAAAGATAAACAAACAATGAAACAGGTTAGGGCTTTGTATGAGAGCCTGCCTTGTTTTCGTTGCAGAATACGGCCTTGGCTTTCAAAGGTTTCAAGCTTCTGGCTATGGCTGGTTGTCACGTGCTTTTTCTTCTTCCAACAGGTTTTATCCACATGTTATGTGACAGAGAAGAATCCAACAGAGGCACTTTTTGACAAGGATTAAATTCACCTCCTCAATCACGATTCCCTTCTCAAGGAATCCCCATCAGCTGAGAGGAGCAGGGCTTCCATCCCCTCTTGCCTGCCTCTCAACTTCTGGAAGCTCCTTGGCTATTTCCCCCTCCATGAGCACAGGTGGAAGGTCTCACACTACACAGAGGCCATGAGGTAATAAACAGTTTATTTGAACAAGTTTATTCTTAGATCAGCAAATTAGTTTAATGCTTAGCCAGCCCCTTTTGTTCTGGTCAAATCTACCAGCAGCACCCAGACCTTGAAGGAAAATAAAAAACAGCCAGTGTGCCAAAAAAAAAACCAAACAACCACCCAAAACCCACACCAGTGTGCCAGACTGCGATTAGGAACAGCGTTCAGAAAAGAAACCTGTGGACTGTGAGGCTGCAGTAGCTTCTCATGGACTCAAAGCATCCAAGGCAGTCTCACAGTGTGGAAGAAAACAGAAAATAGAGAAATCAAAACACTCTCAGCAGAATCTTTTCTGCTGTCTGTGGGAGACCGTCAAGATACGCTCAAGTTACATGTGCACAAGAGAGGGTCTGCTTGTCATCAGGAAGGTAGTTTAGATGGCAGAAGCAGTTTCTCTTAGTGTCTCTGGAGATGTCTCTGTGGATTAAAGAAGTTCTTGGTTCATGGGATACCTCCTAAAAACATTCACAGATCTGATAATATAATAATGTTGTGTGTATGTAAGAAAAAAGGAATATGATAATTTCTTCTCCAGATTGTTTTGGTTTTAACTCTGGCCTCCCCACCTTCTTCCCATCAGGGTGGCAGACCCTCCTTTTGACAGAGTCAGTGCCTGACCAGACCCAGTCATTCTGATTATGTACTCCCTGGATGGCCCAAAGAAATATCACACTTCAAACAGCTGCTTAAGTATTGCCAGGACAACTAATAACTAAGGTCTTTCAGGCAGCACTGGTTATTATTCTGGTATCACTTTGGGAAGTACGTGGAAGGGGCTGAGTCAGTAATGTCAGAAGGCAGAAAGGACAATAGCGACTGCAAGGATAAGGGTAGCTCTGCAATGCATTCCCACCAGTAAGAAACAGAAGTCAACTCACACAAACTCCACTGCAGTTGAAATTGTCCCAAACTGAGCTAATGCAAATTGTCCATACCAACAGCCTTCTCTCACTTTCAACATACTTTAACAACTGCTGATGCCAAGGGCAACGTATTGTGGGAAGAAGAGCTGGATTGCTGAGCCAGACAGAAGAAAAATTGGTTCCAGGTCAATAATCCAGATCACTCCAACAGAAAAGTTACTCTGAATATCAAATCAGACACTCAAAGCACTGAGCTGTTACCCCCTTCTAAGGCACTAGGCTCTTTCAGACTTCCTTGCAGGACAGAACTCAGGAGTGATTTGGACAAGCAGGTCACCCAGGAGCACAAGAATGTACCGAAGTCCAGCTAGTCCCACGTTGTATCTCACGACTCAGTAATGAGTGGCAAAGAACTTCAACATGAAAAGAGTAAACATTTCCTAGCATGCTTTACTGGCTTTCAGCAGTCAGATGTCAAAGGACTTCCCAAGCAGTGGCTGCATCTAGACGCTCATGTTTGGTAGAGAACCAGTACATCTATCCTCTAAGAGGCTGTCTAATTGCTTTGTGTGCCTAGTCATAGTTTTGGATCCTGCAACATCCTGTTACAATAAATTCCATGCATGGGGGGAAGGTGACCAGGAAACACAAAAAACAAAACAAAAAAAACCCAACCAAAAAAACCCCATCCTTTTGCTGAATATGCTTGTACGTCATGCGTGTTTCTTGCTCTTGTGTACCTGTCTTCTTTAACCACTGCTGTGTGCAGCAATGATATTCTCTAAAAAAACATCCAAAACAATCCCCATAGTAGTAGCCAAATTCACTTCCCTTGAGCAAGTTCCTTTAAGACATTTAAACTCTTGAGTGGGTAATAAGTGTGCCAAAGTACTAATCCCCATTGGGCTCAAGTCCCGCTTCTACATCTTGCTTCTCATCTCTGAAGAAGTCTGCATGGTACCACCTTCTGCTGCATGTGCAAAGAACTCCTGTTGCCGTAGCTGTGTCTACTGCCACGTTGCCCAAGAGCTCCACATCTCTGACATGAACAGCACAAGGTAAATATGAAACCTTCCTTAAAGTGCACAGCAATGTCAGTTAAGAACGAAAACTTGTATGTCTAACCTAAGACAAGATGCATACCTCTCCAGCCCCTTCTCTATTTTGCCATTTCTAATATCAGTGACTCATTTATACTTTTGTTATAGATCTTAGAAGAAGATTCTCTTATAGAAAGAATAGTTTTTACTCCATCATAGGTTAGAATCATGTTTAGCCTTCTTTTATAGTTTTAACTACATTTCTGTTAGCAGCTGTCATTCAGCCCTCCATGCAGTCACTTCATTCAAGTGGAGCTGAACTGAAGGTGAAGGTCTTCAGCACGAAAACCAGAGAACTTTACAGCTAGGTCCTCTGTAAGGAGGACACAAAAACTCATACCCCGCTGCTGTGGAACACGTTTAGACCTGAAGCCTCCTTGTCACCTGTACTTGGAAATCTATTATACCTAACATAAGCTTCCTAGATCCGAGCCATAATAAAAGTAGAACCGTTTAGGAAGAGACAAGAAACAAATACTGCTAAAATGCTGTTCCTGCCTATTAATTTCTTGGAAACAGTGTTATTAAAACAGTAACATGTCAAAAGCTTAGGAACAAAATCCATAGAATAGAATGGAGTTTCCAATGACCTGTACTCATACAACTTTAACTCTGCCTCCAGGCAAAACAAACACATTGAGCGAACGAGACATTTTTACCACAGTTTCCTCCTTTTAAAACTCCTTATGAACCCTTTAAGGCTTGCTAATATTCATGGGAGCGGTGCACAAAGCCAGAGCTGTGCCACGATGACACAATAGCTCAAAACAAAAATCAAGAGCGCCTTCATTTGCTAGTCTTACGCTGTCATTTTGACTTTCATTAGTACTTTTGTTGTTGCGTTTTGAAATCTTACTCTTTGCTTGATCTGATTTAACAGAGTATTTTTAATAACTGAAATACATTTTCTGCAATGAAGAAAGATACCATCACATAAACAATTAATGAGTCATTAGACTTGTCTGACAACCAGCACATGACAACATCTTCTGACATTATTCTGATATATAACCATTAAATCACTAAAAAGGATATAAATTTAACACGCTTTTCAATGAATGGAAAAATAAGCCACAAGATTTGTAACAACACATCCAAATATATACCAGCATAAAATTGCAAACATCAGAAACAAATCAGTCTTCAAGTACAAGTGGTCAAAACAATCAAGTGGAAAAAGTACTGTTTCCCTTAAAGCATTACTTAACCCTGCAATACAACCGATTCTCCTTACAGTTCAGAAAGCATTTTAAAAAGATAATGCTAGCAAGAATTCAAACTAACACCTGAAATCAGGGGGAGAAACTGCTAAACAAGCTAAAACAAGACCTGCAACCTTCTAAGCAGCCCTGAACTTCTAAAGCACAGAACAGACAGTTTTTGGTAATTGATCTTAAGAACAGAGTATCATATCAAGCATTAAACCTGGAAACAGAACAGATCTATCAGATCAGCCCACCTCAACACAGACCAGTTCTTTATGACACAGCTTCTAAATGTTGGCAGTTGTGTTTCAGCTCTAAAGAACTGAGCTCCTATCCAGAGTTAGATTCACACACAAGTCTTACGGATGTACGCCTAAAGCTCCAGGTCCTACCGTTAGGATCATTACATCAGAATTTCAGTGCACACTGAAAACAAACAGGAGGGAAACCTATGAAACCAATTTCTTCCTTTAACTACAGCCTCTAAGACAAATCTCAGAAGAATAACCTGCACCACTGTACAGTGCCACGACCAAAAAATTCACATCTCT